AAGGAGAAGGAGAAGGAGAAGGAGAAGGAGAAGGAGAAGGAGAAGGAGAAGGAGAAGGAGGAGTCCCGTATCAGCTAACAGGAAAATATCGATACAACTTCCAACCGGAGACTCTGGCTGGAGGTCTTAAGCCCAGGCTAGCAACCACCAGGCTCCCGTTGCCTGCTGTGCCCAGACAAACCATATTCTGGCTTACACACCTGCTAAGGGACTGGCTGGTTCCTGCAATGCTATACGAGCTGCAAACTGTCTAACCACATTGTGAGCATTTAGGGCACTTCCACGTGCCCCCCTTGCACTGAAGCAGCCTAGCCACTCCTGCAGGACGTCATCACTGATGCTCTTGCCTTTTACCCAGCCCACAGCTGAGGCCCACTGGCTTGCGTGGTTCCAAAGCCAGGTGAAGTGGTGATCTCCCAAGAGAAGCGGTGGGAGATGGGGAGGGGGCCAGGAAGGAACAGAGGGGAGAGCAGACACCAGCAATCAGGAGCCAGAAGGCGGGTGGGATGGCAGCTTACCCCCTCAATGCCAGCTCAGCCCAGGTGGGGAGAAACCTGGGAAGCAGCGTTTCTAGTCAAGCAAAGAGACTTTGCCTGAATGAACTTGCTCTAAAGCGGGCTGGGAAAGTCCTCTTGCCATTTTCAAGGTTCTTGCATACCCCTGCCTGGCATTCAAGACCCTTTCCCAAATCTAGGTCATTCTTTGCTTCTGTGTGGGGTTTGCTATTTGCACCATGTGACGCTTTGGTGGCCATTGGCTTGACGACACAGCACCCCGTGGCCTGCTCTTGTCTGGCGCAGGCCTGCCCCCTCCCCTCTGGGCACCTGGGGGCAATGGCTGAGGGCAGGCAGCGTGGCAGGGAAGACAGGGTTCTCCGTATTTCCTCTCCGCTCCAGGGTTGCCAACAGTCAGCAGTAGATGAAGGGGGGGCATCAAAAGGGCCAAGATGGTGGCTCTGCTACTGAAAAAGCCCTGAGGCTAAACTGAGGCACGGGAAGCCACGGAGGCTGCTGGCCACTGGAGAGAAGATTGTCCCAAGAAAGACAGGAGGAGATAAAAAAGCCAGGATATTATCAAATCTGCTCATAAAGGTGTTGGTGGGTGGACGTCCTCCTTTTTCTCTGAGAGGTTATCGGGGACATGGGAATCTCATTCTCTCTCTCTCTCTCTCACAATGTTATTTGCACAACCACAATCCTGCTAGGTTGGGCCAAACTCATCCCATGGTCTCTGAGGTTAAATGGGGACTGGAACCTCTTCAGATAACCAGTGAGTAGACCAGTTCCTTGGAACCTCTCCAGATAAGGAGAGAACAGGAGATTGCCACGTGTGTTGTGGACAGCTCTCCTCACCCAGGAGAGTGGCTTTCCACAGGTTTGAACATCTGGAGAAGAAGGGATGAGCCATCTTGCTTGCAACCACAGCAGCCACAAAGTTCACAAACCTCACTTTCTAGTCACTTTCAGAAACTGCCTATTAACCATCTTAAAGTTATTAGGGACCTTCAGAGCAACAAGTTTGAAAAGTCTTCACCGGGCAAGTTGAGCTTCAACTCTGAACAAAAGAAAAATTAATGACAAGCTTAAGAACGTAAAGAATTTTAAAAATAAACAGCAAAAAGCTAAATAAGATTTTGATCCAAGAAAGTTATAGACAGATGTCCAGGTAAATTTGGAATATTGACTTTTACTATAAGATTTTGAAATTAACTATAAAAAATAAACCACTTCTTATGGGAAACAGACTTATTTTGGCTATCCTGGCTATTGTAAGTCCTAACAAAAGATAAGTGATGATTTTAGAAACTGGACACTAGAGGGGACTAAAGATTTTAAGCAAAGGGGGGGGGGAAAGCCTGTTTTGATGTCAATTAATACTGGGACTAGCAAAATGATTCAAAACATTATAACATTCAAAATGTTAAAGGAGATCTTTGAAGAATGGAGCCAGAAATGAGTAACTACAATATCAACAGTGTCAGTAATGATATCTGATTCTATGGACAGATTATGTCCAAAAGATGTCAATGAGGGAATGACAGATGTGGGGCAAATTTTATCTGACAAGACAGAGAAAGTACTGAAAATGGGACTACAAATGACAGGCCAAGAGAATTATTTGGAAAAGGACGCTTTATTGGATATACAAAAGAAACTGGCTGAAGTTTTAAAAATTCAAAGGGAAATACAAATGATAACCCAAGGAAAACGTTTTCTTGTTGGATCTACAAAAGAGGCTTGTTAAAGGCTTGAAGAAATCTGTGCTATGGGTTAAGGAAGAATTGAAGAAAAGTCAATAAATAAAGAAATAAAGATTAAGACTGTAGAAAATAAAAGGAAGGAATATAAAGTTGGTTTATTTCATCAAGGTTAAAATAAGTCTTTTTTTTTTTTTTGCAAAGTTCTGGCAACCCTGTATGGACTTTTTGCTGACACCAGGATTGAAAAGTTGATGTTTTATGGATTTGGTTATAGATAAGGGATGGGATATGGGAAGAAGAGATACTTGTTTGTAACCTTATAGCGGGTGAAGAGTTACTAAATTTGTTTATAGTTGTCATGAGGAAGGTCGGAAGTCACTTCTTTATATATTTCTTTTCTTTTTTTCCTGCACTTTTTATTCTTTTTTTCCATTCTCTTCTCTTTCTCTAACTTTAGTTTGTATTTGTTTTTACTATTGTAATCAAAATTCTTAATAAAAAATTATATCCCCCCCCCAAAAAAGTCAAGATGGAAGCCCCAACAATGCAACCAAAGCTTCTACCATTTTAGGTTTGCCACATGTGCGTGCAACACACATAAAAACGGGTGAAGCTTTGATTGCACCATCATGGCCACCTTCTCACAGACACCCTCGGCGAGTGGAAATGCCACCTTCCCATCGTGTTAGAGAGTCCACCAGTGGGAGCACCATTGAAAGACCCAAAAGACCAGGTTAGGGACAGATGGTCATGAAGAAAATCTATCTGTGCGGCCACTAGGAGCTGAAAGCAATTTGATAGTTCATAATCAAATCAATAATCATTGAGTTAGATGGAATCATTCAGCTCCTGCAAACAAACCTGTGGGATTCTGCCCCATACTTTATTTTCCTCATAGCAATTCAAACATTC